AGTTGGGTCTTTGGTGATGCGCAAACATTTGTCGTTGGAATTCACACGGAACAATGATATTTTTAATTGAAATTGTGATTGGATTTCCTGCCACTCCAGTGAATGTTTGGTTATGCTCGTTCGAACACACAGACGCACTGAGATCTTTCAAGTCTTTCTCGGAAGCTGTTTTCGGAACTGTGTATGCACGTCGCTCAGGTAGTGTCACGCCTTAGCAAATGGGAATTCTTCGGTAACTTATTCTCGAAAACTATACACACGATATTGACAGAGCACGGCTACGGGCGGCAGAACGAAGTCCAGTGAAGTTGCAGTGTTCATCGACAAACCGTATGAGTCTAGGTGAGCGACCAAATTGTAGAGCGGCAGTCACAGTTCGTGAGAGCAAATGCTAGGGATAAGGTCTACCCAGCAGACAGCTAAGTGCAGCAGTGAAATGCAAATTGAAAGAGGTTGCGATACGGTATGGAAAAGATTTACAATAAAGTTTGTTGTTGTGTTAAGCGCAATAGAAAAATTCCGGCACAGATGCTTGTGCTCACTTTCCGGTTTTTGATATTCGATGGACTCATCACAGATGTTACACGTTTGCAAATATTATTGCATTAGAACCGACAGAGTTTTGAGAGAAGTGTAAACCACATCCCTCATGTGGCACATGGTTTGCTGTTCCATTCTGATAGTTTATTTTACAAATTTCATTCGCCACCTCTGACCGCATTGTAGGGTACCACATGGCAACGGCTCGATGCGAAAGCAGAGATTATGGCAGCCAAACGCGCTCCAATCAAAGGCTGGCAGCCGGATCCATCTATCAAAGTGGTATGTGCCAAATTAGTGTCGTTTATGTGTCAGTTTGAAGACGTTTTCCTATTGAGGTAATTGTATGTACTGCACAGAGTGCAGTCCAGTGGTTCATGGTAGTATGCAACTTACCTGAATGGGTTGTCCATTTTTTCTATTATTTTTTTCGGGTGAATTGAAAGCTTATGATCGCTCTATTGCAATCGGTGATACTGCATCCTCTTTCATTGATGGAATGCATTTTGTTTATGCAAACTACGTCACACGTTACTGGATCTCGAGGTATTGGTGTTCAAACTACTTATGATTGACTCATCAAGTCGGTGATACCCTCACAGATTGACTTTTGATTTGACTATCACCTGATGCAGATGCTACTTCCATTTTAATTAGTAAATTGGCCTATTGAATTTTTACGATTTTTCTTAAGGCCTTTACTGAGTTGACGTATAGACGCCACCGGTTTCTAGGTCAATCGTGGTTCAATTTGTTCCATTAGGACTACTGACTTACGAAAGGTGCAATGTTCTCGACTAACCTCGTGCTCCCTCCACCACAAGCAAAGTTGACTACCAAATACCTTGCACATTTTATTTCATACTAAAGTTGATCTACTCTATCACGTCGCGGTACTGCTAGTTCCTGTCCAAGCTTCTCATACTATGCGAGAATATCCGCTTCGCGCAGCAGCTAATGAGCTAACTAAGAAGGCAATTTTCCCCGATGAGTTGGAGCGTGAAGTGCGTTAGAACTAGTCCGTGATCAGACTCAGTGCTTGTGTTAATTGAGAACGACCGATGATCTGTGCAGACAAGAAATAGTCGATCGCTGTTTCCTCTTCGCTCGGTTGGCAGAGTGCTCATTTTTTCAATTTACGCATTGAAATCACCGCGCAATGCTATAATGTGTGACCTGTGGCTCAGTTCTATGAGCCCGGTATGCTTGTCGTAAATTCCGTCTTTTGTGCCCTGGGAATGCAATCGATTGATGCATATGCAAAAATGATGAATAAGTACCTTTTGGTGTTGCTTCCCTTCGGAACGCTAACTGAACCTTGGAGCTTCTTTGTGCACAAACGACGATTGATGAATATCCAATCTATCAGTGAAATGTTAGCTTTTTCGTTTATTACCAAAGCCTAGCGATCAGGCTTCGTCGTTTACTGATATGCGAAGAAAATACCTCGAGCACAAACCCGGAGCATTTATGCGGCTTATAGTAACAGGATCTTGAACATTTGCCTCTTATACGCAGCAGCATATATCGATTTCTGAAGAGTTCACTGCACGCGTAAGAAAGGTTTGTTTACCCACGTGCATATCACACTTATGCAAGCCCTGAGATACACAGATTGACGAGTGCTCAAAATGCGCAATTTATGTAATGTCAGTGTTAGTTGTCGAATCTGTCGATGGAGTCGGGATACACAATAGCCATTCGGAGCCTAGGGTCAACAGAAAAATCGTTACTGTACACTTTGATATAAAGCCAGATGTGGAGTGCATAATGATCAGTTATATCGGAGAATTAAGAACAGAAAATACGAGCGGGGATCAAAGGCTGATATGTATGCTCTTACCAGCTTGCGACGGTAATTTATCAGATTGTCTAAATTAAAGAAGATGGAAGGGGAACGTGAGAAACAGGACAGGAAAGACTCGCGAGTGTTTGTGGTTGTTAAGTTTATGGGTTTTCAACGTGTTAACTGAGGTGTATCAAGCAAGCACAGGCAAGTGGTTTGTTAAGTTTTGAATGTACTATAGTTTGATATTTGTCAGTGATGCACTTTAGTCCGAAGTTCGAACCCCGCCAACGCCACCCACCTTTAGTGGTCGACAGTTTCGCTATCGCTCGGCTCGGTATCATGCCTAAGCTAGTGGGTTATTATGCGTTTCGGTACTCCAAGTCCTGGGGCCTAAGTTGTCCGCTCCAACGAGTGAACAGCGGATCCTCCTGACTAAGGGGTTTATCACGCCTGCTATGTAATAATAATAATAATACATCGACCGCATCCCGATTACCGTGCATCCTCACCTGAAAATTAGACTCAATGCGCTTCTTTCCTTTTCCATTCTCAAAACAGGGCGTTCCCGTCTCCTTTTGCGGAAGCATTGTGTTTTCTCCTATTGTTGTTGATTTATCGTGTGCTCCACTATAGTCTAATTGGAAAGTTCAGATATGATCTGCTCATTTTTCGCGGTTTTTTTCGGGCTGTTTATCCTCATCTCTCTACGTGCGCATGCTTTTCAGGGAACAAACTATGAACGTCCGGATTTTCAGTCGGAAATTCGTGCTGCCCGTGCCAATCGAACGAATCATACCGGACCGGTTGAAACATCCTCGAACCATGTTAGTCCTAACGTGCTCTCAGATGACTGATATCGCAGTATTTAACATCATGGTGTTCTGTCGAATCGCGCATTCCCTCATCATCTCCACTGATATAATTTTGGTAGTCATTTTCCCCCAT